CGCATCTGCATGCAGAAGGTAGCACTTTTCCACAGGAAAACTTTTCCGCACTCATACCATACTAGCACGCATTACGTCATTACGTGTTATGAAATTGAATATTTTTGCACAAACAGGCAGTGGCTAAATATATAATTTTGGAGAGGTCGATCAATTTGTCTATTTGGGATCAACCTTGACAAGAAAACCCGACACAAGGGAAGCAATCAAAGCAAGGTTGGGTAAGGGAAATAGTTGTTTATATGGACTGAACCATCTCCTGAAAAGCAAGTTGATAAGTAATAAACTAAAAATTAAATTATATAAAACAGTAATAAGACCATCAGATACATTTGCTTGTGAAACATGGAAGGCAGATATAAATACCCTAGAAGTGTGGGAAATAAAGGTGTTAAGGAAAATTTTTGGAGGGAAACAGAACAGTGAGGTATGGGAAAGAAGAACAAACCAAGACCTTGCAGATATGTATAAAGAATCAAGTATCACACTATATATAAGAGCAAAAAGGTTGAAATGGTTAGGGCACGTAGAAAGGATGGCAGAAAATAGGATTCCAAAACTGATTGTTAGCAGAAGCATAGGAGGCAAGAAGAGGAGAGGGAGACCGAAGGAAAGATGGAAGAGCGAAGTAGAAGCTGATCTGAGAAGCCTAGGTGTACAAAACTGGAAATCCATGTGTCAAAATAAGAAGAAATGGAAAGAAATTACAAATAAAGCCTTGGGCCTTTCAGGCCTGCAGAGCTATATATATACGTATATATATAGATATTTGCACAAGCAGTGCCACTTCTATAGGAGGTTGCCTACAAGTACCTTAACATTGTTGATTTTTATTATAAATGAATCATTGATGGTGTTGTTATTGATGATGATAATTTCACAATTACTAAATTTCTAATAAAAAAATGTACGTATTTAAAATTCAGGGTTTATTGTCTTCTAGCACTTGCCGCCGCCTGCGTAAAAGTATCACTTTCCGGATTTATTCATATGAAAAAAAAAACTAACTGGAGTAACTGTGAAGAATGCAGTTTTAATTGTGCTACCAAGATGAATCTAAGAACACCTCAAGGGTCAAAGTTCATCAAGTTGTTTGAAATATAGAAAAGCTGACATTTTCGATTGAAATTCCAAATTTCTAATATAAAGCCAGTCAAATAAGCTTCAAGCTCCAGTGATTCTACAGACACAATAGGCATGTTCTAGCAATGATTTTCAAACGGTTTGCAACTGTCAAATTCAGTTACGCAGACACACTGTCAAAAAAATCGCTGAACCCTATGCGTCAAGCTGATTAAGTTTTTTCAACTGTACTCGACAGTCAGAAATTCGTTGCTAGAATATTTCACCTAAATATTTCTCCGTATATTTGTCGTTAATGATAGAAATGGTTTCATTACCCAAGATGTCTCTATCAAGGCATATTGATCCCAACGTTATCGCATCGAGGTCAGATGGTCCGTAGAGCAAAGGAGAAACTCGCAACAATGTCAAATAGCTAGGGACCGAGGTGCAACTATATAGGCCTATATGACTCACTCGATCCATTCAATTCCTTTGTTATACATGTTCTAAGTTATTTTTTTAAAGAAGAGCCGACTTGTGCCGAAATACTTGTTTACGGACTGATGACAGCGTTGCGTGCAAAGTGCAGTATCAACATACTTGACGCCATTTTTCTCCTATGAATGACGAGAGAGACTCTTTCATTAGTGTAAAGCACAGGTTCTCAAACTTTGTCTACTGTGCGCGGAGAATAATTAGTTTCTAGCGAAATTGTTCAGGAAGATGTTGGTCTCGGGAGGGGGGTAACTGTGATTTAAAATTCAAGAGCTACAGGTAATTCAAGAGTGGGGGACAAAAATTATCCTTTGCGCCAGCCCCCTCAAAATCAATTAATTGCCCCCCAATTTCCTTTAGGCGCCGTCCCGCGTAGATCCGCAGTGCCCACAAGAGGGCCTTATCGTCCACTTTGAGAAACACTGCTGTAAACGAATACTGTTCCCCGAAAGTGACCCGTTTTAACTAGCAGTCATTCTCCGTCGTTTTGATATGTTACAGCTTCACACTTCTAGTAACGCGGCAAGTGTACAAGGGTTTTACCAGCTACAAATATGCATTTGCATTTCCTTTGCAGCTCTGAGAAGTTAGAGACGCCACTTCTTCCCCGGCTGCGCCAATGATTCCAACCACACTTCCAGTTAAGCTCTTTCCTTACTTCGAGAATGCGGTAATCAAAAAGGTAAATCAAAGCGAGCAGGCTTTGAAGTTAAAGTGGAGAGCAGCCAGGTTTTTGTTTATTCGTTCCAGGGATTTTTATCCTCTATACCTAGTTCTCCTGAGTAAATTGAATTTGCACATCTCCTTTGTTATTTTCCGTTCTCTCATTCCATTTGCGGCTTAATCTCTCTTTCTGTGTGTGAGAAGTAGAGAGTGGAGTGCGCCCATCTAATCAGGAGTTTATGCCGAACACTTCTCTAAGGCTGAGACAACACCGGAGGTGCTAGGCTTAGAGGCAAGGGATGCTAGAATCATATATCCTACCGATCAAACGCAGTTCGCCTAGATTAATTGCAGCAGCAAAAATGGACATGCTTGTCTTTGATCTCCATAACCATGACCATCCGCAGACAGAGATGTTTTGTGCTCATTACCAAGTGTGGTATGGTTCTTAGGTCTAGTAGAGAGAAACGAAACTGGAACAAAGGAAGTTTGATTGATAGATGATACCTTATTGGTCATATTATGTAAATTATATGTATGACAAGTCTCTGGATGTAGAATCCATAAAGTAAGAGAAGATCCAACATTTACAATAAAAAAAAACGAGTGCACATAAGACATGATTCACAAATGAAATTAAAAACTGTAATTTAAAAAGTGTGTATAGTCTTTTGAAAAACATAAAACATTGTGCGTAAGTAGGTGAAAATCTAACGTCTGCATCATATGGGATGAGGATGAAGATCAGTTTGGTGAATTATTGGTTTGTAGTATCCAGCGTTCGTGACAGGAAATAACGGCATGGCTGAATGCCAGGAAAGAACGCTAATTGAAAATGCGACTCTTTCTCTCAAACTCCGTTGCGGAAGGAAAGCAGTCACTTAAGTCTTTCCGTTTGGAATATTTGACAGTTAATGGTAACATTTGTTACTTTAGTACGAGTTTATGCATGTCCCAACTAGCAAAGTACTTTTGGTAAAAGAACCGTTCAGCCATAAAAGCTCTCTATTGTTGTTGCCTGAACACCAAAATGCTGGCTTAATGTTGTGTGGAATGCAAATTTGCTTTCTGCAACATATTTGCTCTAAAATGAGGTGTTTAAAATATTCTTATAGCATAGTTATACAACACCTTATAGGGCAAATTTTTAACTGTTGCATAAACGTTTATACAACTATTTTATACGGCATATTTGCAAGTTAGTTAAAATGGTTTGTGTTGTGGCATCCATGGTAACGTTTATAAAACAAACCCGAGCCTTGTTGTTTTGCTGTGCAATTTACTACCTTAGCCAACAAATTGCTCCCAACGGAAGCACTTATACAACTGTTGTTTAGTATCTGTTAAAGGCTGTACATATGCTAAATATGTTGGTAAACAGCTTCACCATAACCTAACTTTCTGCTGTCATATTTTTGTTAAAATGTCGTCACCAATGTTTTAAGACAAACAACCCATGCGTATTGGTTCAAAAGGTTTTATCAACTGTTCAAACAGAAAATATAGATCTGGTACAAATTCTGGGTAAATCATTCGACTCTGTCGGTATTTCATTTCAGACATTTGTCAAATTGTTGTATAACACCTGCAGGCAACACCAAAATATTATAATAACCTAAAGACAACATGGACGATGCCATGATTGTACACAACCACCCGCCATATTTGGCAAACATTAAAAATAATTATGTTTCAGTTCGAAATTACAGATATAAAGTGATAAAAATTAGTGTAATTGTGTCTAAATATAGGATTTGTGGAAGATTTAACGCAGATCAGTTCAGTTTTCCATCTTAAAAATCTAGACATACTTTTGATCATTGTCAAAATATGAATTAAATACGAAGCTCGTAGAAATTGGGTAACTAATTTGCCTGATAATCACAATAAAATTTGCTGCGCAAGTAATTCAATAGGCCTATATCATAGTGTAGAAGTTTAACATATACCTGTGTATGAAATTCACAATGGCCGATATGTAAGTAAACAAGATGACTGTAACGTGTTAGTTATATATTCTTCACTTCGTCTATACAATACATAAGAAATAGTTTGGTTGCAATAAAGTAGAATCACGTAACAGAATAGTTGTATAGTTGACAAAAACTGAATCTTGCACTGACGCAAATGTCCTATAGCGGCTGCAAGAGGCTTACACTTTTGTTTTATAACTGTTACCTGCAGCCCTTATACAACCTCTTAAATGACTGAAGTGTCCTATTAGGTGTGCCCTTTCAGCTTGTATAGCTGCTCTAAGAGGGTTTTGTTCTTACAGTATACAATGCTGTTTAAGGAATACTGTATAATCATTCTTGCAACTCTAATAGGAGTGATAATTGTTTGTTGGGGTAGACTTGACAAGTCAATAATCTCCACAGAAAGGTTGCTGTTCATTCATCTCCTGAGGAAACAACTGGCTTCAAAAGGATTCAAAAGGTTCTCAATATTTTGTGGTATCGTTACCTCTCTTATCAAATAAAAATTGTAACCGGTCGACAGTTTGAAACGGTAGCCGAAGTAATAACAGTACAGGAACTGGTGGTCGCTCAACCCCGTAATGAATATCACGTCATAACAGTGATTGAATAATATCATGTAAGCCTGTTATTTGTAACAGTTACCGATACTAATTTTCAACTATTAAATGGCGTAATTTACTACAATTAGAGCGTTATACTAGAAAAGGTGATGATGTATTGTTAGTAGTTGCTTTCAAAAAGGATCCTCAATAGAATCTCGCGGGATATTCTCCATTTCAACAACAAAAATTGCGTTACTTTTATAGTAGCTTGTCTCATCACCTAGAGTCCAGTAGCCTCCTGATATTTTAGCACCTATGCTGTCACTAAGGTTACCACCGCTGTGTGGCCTTGGCTTTACTCCGTTCCTCGGCAGGCTCCCGCCGTGCATATTTTATTCTTCTATCAGAGGGTGGTCTGGTTTTACTCCGATTACTTTATTATTCTTGCGCATTACGATGATTTGAGCCGAAATTGCATAAAAATACAAAGTTGCACATATAGGTACTGTTGTAACTTAAATGACAAGCAACGTTTATTGGCAAACGCAAATTTGCTGTTAGTTTGTCTAAGCCACTGCATGTGCATTCCACCATGATAAGGACGAAATTGTCTAAGGTGAGACAGCATTCATACTCATCCGGGGGTATCGGGGATGGGGATTAATAGAAAAGTGATGGGGGGACTGCTTGCTTCAGCACTTAGGCCCGTATCGTTAGTCGTCCCTACAATTGTATGGCGCGTTTATGGCCTCCTTTCTCTCCTTCAAAAATTTCTAGATTACACTTGTCCCGTGTCAGCGTCAGCGCTCTCCTATTGTGAAGATATGTTTTCTTTTTAAATTGTAGGAAATTTCAGGCTGACAAAACATGATATAACTCAAAAACAAGCACAATTTGATGCAAATAGATGTTTGTGAGATAACCTCAAAATAGAGCGCTGACAGGGAGAAGTGGAAAACTACGACAATCAAGCAGGCCATAAAGGCGCCCTACAATTGTAGGGACGACTGACGATACGGGCCTTAAGTATAACTTTGACAATTGAAGAGCGGGGCGGGATATGTCTAGGGGGCGGCGACACGTTTACGTCTCACGATTCATGTCTAGCAAGATAATTTTTACACCAAGGTAGCAAAATACAAAGTGTCCCAGAAATAACACGCCAGAGTGACACGAGAGGTAGATTGGCTACAGATCAATCAGATAAAATCAACATGACCTTAGTAAAAGTTTTTTAGTTTTCGAGATATCGCCACGCTTAGGTTTTTCCCAAAAAACACTAGTTTTCGCTCCTTTTTTTCCTGTTATGGCTTTTTTTTCCTGGGCTACCATTAATAGTTGGTTGAGACAGTCGAGTATTTATTTCATTGAAGACTAGCACGGTATGCTAAAAGAACAAATTGTTACATTTGGTTTCAATTCGAAAACCTGTACTAAAGATTTACTAATTAATGTAACAAAAAGTGTGCCAGACTAAATCAGCAAATGACCCTAAAAATTAGATATTGAATGTTCTTTCCAAACCAGTATAATATTTGTAGGTTCTTTTTACTAAAAAACTGAATAATTCCAAGTTTTTTCATTGCTTGCGAAATACTACAAATAAAAAATAGTAAAAGCAGCCGTATTTTGTGTCCAAATTACAACTTTGTGGTTGCTGTAATCGCGGCGCAACTACCACCTGAATGTTTTAAAAATCGATGGAAGTAGAAAAAGTACAACCTAATGTTCTGTTCATTATGTTGATGCCTGCATACAACAATGAATAAAAAAGGTTAATGGATAGCTGTTTTAAGCCGCCTACAGACGGAAAATCCTACGCCGAGCAAATTAATGCAAGCACATTCGACGTTAGCGTTTGTTGATGGAAGGTATTGGAATGCGCTCGTCTACATTTGAATTTAGTTTCGAGTTGGACCGCGTTGGGCTAAGTTTGGTGCTAATGCCGACCGACGAGGCTTCTCTTATCGTACGAAGACAAACGACTAAATACTTAGCTTCTGTTGGCTGGCGCCGTATATACTGATTCGAACACCTCCAAATCTGTAACCAAATGTGCCTTGGCTTGCGTTGAAATCTCGGTCTGTACGGGGCTTTAGACATTTGCTAAAATAAAAAGCGATTACAACAACTACAAAGTTGTAATTTGGACACAAAAGATAGCTGCACTTATTATTTTTATTTGTAGTATTTCGCAAGTATTTCGACTTCAATGACAAAACTTTATTAAAGTACCCGGGGTTAGGAAAAAGAATCTACAAATGCTATATCTACTATTTTTGAAAAAGCATTAAATAGATAATTAATTTAATTGCTGATTCAGTCTGGTACATTTCGTTTCACGGTAATTAGTAAAACTTTAGTAAAGGTTTTTCCACTGAAATCAACTGTAATAATTTAGTTCTTTTTAACATACCGTGTTAGTTTTCACTGAAATGAATACTCGGTTGTCTCGTCCAACTTTTAATGGTAGCCCAGGAAAAAAGTTAGAAGTTCTTTACAGCCATGTGGTGTCCTACAAGGAACTGTCTTAGGTCCGCTATTATTCAATATATATTTCAATGATATTTACCAAATTAATTGTGTTGGCAAAATAACCAGTTTTGCAGATGATACTGCAATATTGTATGAAGGCACTGACTGGTCTGATCTGAAAAATGTAATTGAAAATGATTTTATCAAAATTATTCGGTGGTTTAACAGTAGAAAATTAAGCATTAACTATTCCAAAACACATTTTTTACCATTTGAATCTTATGCTAGACATCTGCCAAATTACACAAATTTTTCCTTCACCATTAATGATCAAAAAATCCAAATTAATAGAGTGCCCAACATAAAATACCTTGGAGTGGTCTTGGATCCTCACTTACGATGGGACATCCATGTCAATTATATTTTAAAGAAAGTTAGATTTGTATCCTACAAAATTAAATACCTTGGGAATATATTGACAGAAAAATATCTTCGAGCATTATACCATGCACTGATTGAGCCTCTTCTCACATATGGTATATTAACATGGGGAGCTGCATGTTCCTCACATATCTACAGGGTGACTTTGAAGTTGAGTCATTAATTTTCAGATAATGATTGTAGAAGGAAGATAAACCAAAATATGTGTGTAAAAATAAAAAAAAAAAATTTACCTTGTTTTATAAAGTATCCTCCCGACAAGTATTTCAGTGCGGACCTGTATTTGATCGTGAGGTCTTGGAGCACCGGCATGCCGTCACCTGATTCACGAGCCCGTTGTACTACATTAACAAAGGCACGAGGGGTTGGTTGCACTCGATTGGGAAACCGATCCGCATAAACATGTGCCATTTTTTATATCGTTTGAGCCACGCAACAGACACCACTATTCACTGACACTGACTGTATACAAATGAATAAAATAATTGTAAAAACATCGTTCCAAATTCTTTCGCTTTTTTGTTTCCGATGCGATGAACCGATACGGCGGATTATATCCGTTGTCGCCAAACACGAGCACATAATATTATTATTGAGACAGGGCGGTACTCAAACTTCCAAAGGGCTATAACTTTGTTACTTTAATTTTACCAGAAAAATGGTAAAGGAAAAAACAGTTCTTTTGATCAGATCTACTCACTGTTAAAATAAATGACTCAACTTCGAAGTCACCCTGTATAATTTAGATGTTTTTCAAAAAAGTATTCTAAAAGTGATATTTAAAAAACCGAAACTTTATCCCACTGGCAAATTATACACAGATGTTCGAATGTATGATATAAGACAGCTTTATTTCTTACACAGTATCACTAACTACCATAAATTTGTAAACACCGACCAAAAAATTAAACATAATCATTATACAAGGAACAAAATTCGTGGCACAGTAGTTCCTCAGCCGCATAAATCGATAATGCAGCGGCATATCGCTATTTAGCGCCAAAATTTTATGAAATTATACCTAAAGACTTAAAAGATTTACGTTTCGGAAATTGTTTCAAAAGAAATTTAAAAAAGTGGCTACATATAGGACTGAAATTCATAAACTCATAAATACGAACATCAAGTAAATGCATAATCTACTGTAGCTAATTTTGTCCTTTTTTGTCATTTGCATTCTACAGTTGCAACTTAAAATTATTGGTCCATGTACAGGCGATGCCTTCTATTGGGCCTGATTTGATTTTATATTTATTTACTCATATTGTTTATTATCTTTGTACATTGAGTGAATTAATATTATTATAGGAGAAAAAAGTAAGGATTTTTTGAAAAAACTTCAAAGTGGCAATATCTCGGATAACTAAAAAACTTTTACTAAGGTCATGTTGATTTTATCGGACTGATCTGAAGCCAATCTACCTCCCATGACACTCTGGCGTGTTATTTCTGGAACACCCCGTATACTGGTTTTTTGAAAAAATAACACACTTGGACGTATGGGGAGGCAGGGTGCCCCCCTCGACCTCTTCTAAATTCGCCCGTGTACCATCATTGTCCGGTCTAGATCGTGGCTAGCAAAACCACAAAATATATTATCTGATGAAGTTCGCATCTAATAGGAAAAATATCGTGATTCAGAATTTTTCATACTCTTTTTCAAAAACGACCCGTTTGAACGAGTCTGTAGTCTACCAGGTGCAAATCTGCGAAAAACATGCAAGTAGTACTGTAGTAAACTTCACATATCCAGCTTTTCTAAACAAGAAATATATCTTAAACAACAAACGTAACCGAAAATAACGACAGGGATATTAACCAAACAGAAAAAAAGTGTATAGGCCCCGGCGAGATTCGAACTCGCGATCTCCTGTTTACTAGACAGGCGCTTTAACCAACTAAGCCACGGCGCCGTTGTCCTACGTAATTTCCTCAGCGCTATACAAGCAGGTCGCCCCGTTGTCCTATTACTTAAATTGACAATTGGGGTATTCAGATGATCTTGAGTGATGACGATTACAGTGGCATACCATAAAATGTTTGAAATGTAACATGTATAAGTGACTAATGAGCATGTTGTATTTTACCACACCAAAACACTCACTTGGATTTCTCGTCTGTTCCTGTGCGCCTTTCGGTCTGTCGTAAGGAAACTGGACATTTATTTAATACTGCACTCAGGTTATTTTAAATTATAATTAGGTATTATTTATTATTTCTGGGGTACAGTGTAGACCAAATGCATAATCCTACATGTGCGTTGCCTTGGTAAGATAGAGAGAGAGATTTGGTCATTTTCTGATGAAATATTTTGATCATTACAGTCAGAATGTGTATAGTCAGTTACAAAATAAACGCAACAAATAGAAATTTGGTCAAATTCGGAACGTCATAGCTTTTTTTTATTTTCATCTCGAATTTATTGATTTTTTCTGACAAGGGATAGGTACCTACTAATTGGCTTTATTTGAAA